AAATAAATAAATAAATAAATAAATAAATAAGAGAAAGTACTATTTCTAAGGTCTTTTTATGACACCAGCATTATCTTTATTCTAAAACCACATAAAGACACTACAAAGAAAGAAAATTACAGGTCAATATCTCTGATGAACATAGCTGTTAAAATCCCCAACAAAATATTAGCAAATTAGATCCAGCAATACATTAAAAAGATCACACACCATAACCAAGTGGGATTTATTTGGGGAATGCAAAGTGGGTCAATATTCAGAAATCAATAAATGTACTAATGAATAAATTTGGCCAAGTAGCTGGATATAAATTAACACACAGAGATTGATGGCATTTTATGTACTAATAATAAACTCTCAGAAAGAGACACTAACAAAACAATCCCATTTACCATTGCAATAACAACAATAACAACAAAAATAAGATACCTGGAATAAACTTAACAAAGATGGTAAAAGACCTTGACTCATAAAATTATAGGACATTGAGAACGCAGTGGTTCTCAACCTTCTGGCCCTTTAAATACAGTTCCTCATGTTGTGACCCAATCATAAAATTATTTTTGTTGCTACTTCATAACTGTAATGTTGCTACTGTTATGAATCATAATGTAAATATCTGATATGCAGGATGGTCTTAGGCAACCCCTGTGAAAAGTGTTGTTTGACCCCCAAAGGGTTCGTGACCCACAGGTTGAGAACTGCTGCTCTCTGCCTCATTAGAATTTAGGTGTTTCAATAAAATATTTACCAAATTAGAAATGAAACAAGGAGAGTAAATCTTTCTGCCTCCAGTCAAACAGAAGAGCCAGCAGAGACCTCACCCACAATCAGGGGAGCTGCCCTTTACCTGCTCATCCAAGGCCTGAGTTGGCACCCCATCTCTCCTTCTACTGTAGGAGAGGCTTTAGGGCTCAGACCCTGAGCATGGGGGATGGGAATGGGCAGCAGGGGTAGAGGGCATAGGCAAGGGCCAAGTTCCTTCTCATCTCAGGTTCCTTCAGCATGGGAGCTTAGAGCCTGCTGAGGGTCCACATGTGTGCGTGGGCGTCATGATCCCGGCCTCGGCCCCCATGGCTGTGCCTGCAGTGCCAGCCAGAATGGGTCGCCCATCCAGTTAACTCACTAAAGGTGCTCAGCACTTACCTGCCAGGGACACTCGCCATCTTTGCAGTCTCTCCCTCCCACTATCCTGACAAGTGAGTTCTCCTCTGCAGAGCTCGGCTGTGTGTTATTCAAGCCCGGCAGATCAAAAGGGTTTGTGGTGGTATCCAGGTCTCCATCGAAAGGGTTTGTGGTTCGATCCAGGTCTCCATCGAAAGGGTTCCTGGTGGGATCCAGGTCTCCACTGTCTTCTGGGGGATCCTCGCTGCTGTGGGCGGTCAGGGACCCTGGCCTCCTCCTCTGTGGCAGAGTGAGTTTCCCACAGGGATAAGACTCTGGAAGAAAAACCAATGGCCTCGGGCTTCAGCAAAGTGAGACCCTCCCTGTACCGCATGCACAGTTCATTAGCAGCAGGAGGCATAGGGAGGCCAGAGAGAGAGAGGCTCCGACCCCCAAGGTTATGGGTCGGGTCAGAGGGCCTGGAGAACTGCAGTTGGGGAAGAGTGAAGCGTGTGCTTGGTAACTGGGAAGGATGCGAGGAACTTTTGGGGTGCAGAGTGCCCTGTGTCTTGATCTCGGTGGCATTACAAGGTGGACGTGACTGTCATGATGCAAGGAAAGTGCCCTTCCCGTCAGTGCCCCCACTGTGTGTCAGTCTTACCTACAGGACCTGTTGAAGACACCGGCTCTGGGGCTGACCAGGATGCTGAAGCATTGAAGGGTCTGTCTATAAGCTACTTGGAAAATGCACCCACATACTACAGAGGCTGACAGTGGACAGAGGACACAGAAGGGCAGGCAGGCGATGAAGCAGGCAGAGAGGTTAATGGCAGAACCCAGGTAGGCACATAGGGGTGCTCACTGTCAAATCCTGTCAACCCTGCTGTGTGTGCAAACATTTTCTAATGAATTTTTGTTGTTTTAAATTGTTCTGGGAAAATGGGACAACATATGTAGACAACCTGAGTTATAAGAAGGAGCACTACACAACACGGCTTTGTATGATAATGTCTAACAGGGATGACTACCCTTAACATCACCAAGCTCAGGGGAGATGTCAGCAAATACCAGAAAGTTTCCTTTCTGTATTATTACCAACTAAGGAATTGAGGTGGAGAGAGGGGCCAACACCGGACAGAGAAAGGGAGAGTTGTGGAGGCCCATCAGAAAACAGAGGACAACCAAGATGGCAGCATAGGTAAACACCTGGACTCGCTGCTGCCCACAACCACATTAAAACTACAACTAAAAGACAAAACGAATAGCATCCAGAACCATGGGAAGGCTGGCTGAGTGGAAATTTTACCACTAGAAGGAAAGAGAAAAGCACACTGAGTCCAGTAGGAGGTGCAGAGGTGTGGAAATGTGGAGGTATGGAGGCTCGCGTGAAAGGGGCTGGCAGCTGGGTTCGCTGTTGTCTTTTTCAACCAGGAGGGAGATACAAGCTCCCGACTGCTCTGAAATCCAGTTCTGGGCGAGAATGTGGGGACTCAGACTCATAAGGAGTGAAACTGTACTGTCTGGCATAGGGCCGGAATGTGAGGGCGGCTTTCTCGCAGAGGTGCTTGCAGTGTTCATTGTTCCTGCACAGGGCGGAGGGACATAGAGACCCAGGGACCTATCGGGGGAGGGCCGATGGCAACCATTGCTGTTTGCACCCCACCGTGACTCCCTGAGACCACACTCCACCCAATTTACAACCCCACCCAAGCTGTGCCCAGAGGCTTTTGCATACGAATGGTCTGTCCTTTCTCCCCCTAAAAACCTGTCAAACTGCAGCTGGGTCAGAGAAACCCACAGCTTCCAAAAGGCCTAAGGCTATCATTAGCCTGCATTACTTCACAGTTCTGCCTCATCTGAGCACCTCCAAACCCCTAACAAAGAGGAGGAATCTGCAGATCTCTATAGCTCCCGTTGGGTGGCCTCAGGCAGTGGGTGACTTTGCACCCCCTTGGAGATCTAATAGTCAGTCTACCCAGTGGATAGAGTGAGACCATCCAGATTAAAACTCTTAACATCCATAAAGACACACTCAGGGGGCAGACTCAGTGAGCGCCAAAGCCCCACTGAAGCAAGACCTGCCCCATAAGGGTGTCTCCAGCACAGAAGTTCTCCCACGTAGACACAACTGGTCCTCACAGCCAATTGGCACGGAGGTCAATTCCTCCCAGTGACACCAACAGCAATCAAGGCTTAACTACAACAAGACTGTGCACACAGCCCACAAAGGGGTGCAACAAGAGTGTCCAGGTAATTGGGAATGCTGAGCCACTGGTCCCTATAGGACACCTAGCACACAAAGCCACTCTATCAACACAGGGAAGCAGTCAAAATGCGGAGACAAAGAAACAGGTCACAAATGAAAGAAATGGAGGAAAGCAAACTACTGGATATAGAGTTAATCTTCTAGAAATCTCCAAGGAACTTAGTGAGACTTTCAAGGTTCTTAGAGAAAATGCCAAAAAAATGGAAAAGGATCAGTCATAAATTAAGCATACACTGACTGAAATAAAGAATAATATACAGAGATCCAACTAGAGGGTCCCAAGAATCAAGTCAAAGATTTGAAATACGAAGAAGCATAAAACACCCGCCGGAAAAGCAAAAGGAAAAAAGAATCCAAAAATACAAAGATAGTGCAAGGAGCCGCTAAGACAACATCAAGCGTAACAACATCCGAATTATAGGGGTGCCAGAAGAAGAGAGAGAGCAAGATATTGAAAACCTATTTGAAGAAATAATGACAGAAAACTTCCCCTACCTGGTGAAAGAAATAGACTTACAAGTCCAGGAAGCTCAGAGAACCCCAAACAAAAGGAATCCAAAGGGGACCACACCAAGACACATCATAATTAAAATGCCAAGGACAAAAGACAAAGAGAGAATATTAAAAGCAGCAAGAGAAAAACAGTTAGTTACCTACAAGGGAGTACCCATACTGTCAGCTGATTTCTCAACAGAAACTATGCAGGCCAGAAGGGAGTGGCAAGAAATATTCAAAGTGATGAATAGCAAGAACCTACAACCAAGATTACTCTACCCAGCAAAGTTATCATTTAGAATTGAAGGTCAGAGAAAGAGCTTCACAGACAAGAAAAAGCTAAAGGAGTTCATCACCACCAAACCAGTATTATATGAAATGCGGAAGGGTATTCTTTAAGAAGAGGAAGAAGAAGAAAAAGGTAAAGATAAAAATTATGAACACCAAAGTGACAACAAATACATATCTGTCAACAAGTGAATCTAAAAATCAAGTCAATAAAAAATCTGATGAACAGAATAAACTGGTGAATAGAATAGAATCAGGGGAATAGAAAGGGAGTGGACTTACAATTCTCGGGGGAAAGGGAGTGTGGGTGGTGCAGGAAGAGTCTGGCCAAAAAGCATACACCTATGAACGAGGACAATGGGGCGGGGGGTGGTAAGGATAGGGAGTGGGGTTGGAACCAGGTGGAGGGGAGCTATGGGGGGAAAAAGAGGAACAAGTGTAATAATCTGAACAATAAAGGTTTATTTTAAGAAGAAAGAAAAAAAGAAAGCAGATGGCTCCTCTCTTTTGCCCTGGCTTTGCCTAAAATCAGATAAGCAGAATGTAGTTCTTTTTAGTGTTTGCGAGGGCTCCAGCAGGATCTGAAGGACCCCTCCCCATCCCCAGCAGACTTGTGCTGTGTTAGATGGAGATAAAGAGTTCGGTGTTGATATTTGTAATCACTATATTTTGAAATACTGAATTAGGAAGTAGTTTACCTCATCCCCCCCACCCCCCAATATCACACTTCATTAAATTGATTTGTAATTATTCCTGGAATTTAAACAAAATTTGCATGCATGTTACAGTCTACCCCCTATTGTTGAACCAGCATAAGTTTAAAAATCTCATTACCAATGGAGATGTAAATGATATTGTCTTTTACTTGTTGAGAGAGTTGATGTTATCTAATAGCAGTCATTCTGGAATGTTCCTGTCTTGTGGAGTGGGTCTGGGACTTTGTATTTGTACACCCTCACCTCCCTGACCCCCCTCGACCACTTGATGCTGAAGCTGTCAGTCAGTCAGGGAACCTGGCTTTGAAAAACAAGTTGGTGCCTTTGTGAGACTGAGAGAAAGGAGTGGCGCCTCAGCACCACTGGCTCCAGCTTGGCCCTGCAGCATAGGACGACCTTTGGACAGTGTGTGAGACCCCAGGGGCCTGGCCCGTACTCAGCCCCTTAATAGGCCATGCCCTCCCGAGCTTCTAGGCCAGACTCATCGTGTCCGGCTTTTATCAATCAAAATAATAAATAAATTTTATGAACATTGAGGCCCACACAACCTAAATTAGTTCTTTTTTGTTGTTGTTAATATCCTCCCGAGGATATTTTTTCATTGATTTTTAGGGAGAGTGGAAGAGAGAGGGAAAGACAGAGAGAAACATCAATGTGAGAGAAACACATCAATTGGTTGCCTCCTGCACGAGCCCCAACCAGGGTCCGGGCTGGGGAGGATCCTGAAACAGGTACGTACCCTTGCCCAGAATCGATCCCGGGACTCTCTGGTCCACAGGCTGACACTCTATCCACTGAGCCAAACCAGCTTGGGCCTAAATTAGTTCTCGAGGGGCCTCGGCTCCCCTCTTTCCAACTCTCCAGCTCCTACAGTCAGGCCTTGGCTGCCCTCACCCGCCTGCACTCTCATCTTGGTTCATTGTAACTCCCAGTCTCCCAAGTCTCCTGTCCTATCCAGGGGTACAAATCAGGCCTCCACACACTCATTACATAGTTAGGGTTTGCTATGAATCAGGCACTGTGCAAAGTGTCCTCCATGCATTGCTCTCTTAATTTGCACATTTACTAAGCAGTTAGGTAATATCGCCGGCTCAATTTTCAGGGAGCTCCCAGAAACGGGTTTGTCTCCAAATCTGCGGCCCACCCCGGCTGCTCCAGCTATCCTGCACTGGCCTCTCTGACTCAGGGAGCCCTGGTGGAGTTGCCCCATGCGCCTCCTACCTGTGGAGATGCAGGACTTGTCGTTGTCATCCAGGATGTACCCGCTGGCGCAAGAACACACCACGGAGATCTCCTCTCTGCAGAACTGGTCACAGTCCCCGTTGTTCCGGCTGCAGAATTTTCGCATGGCTGTAAGGGACGAATGTTAGTTCTCAGGACAGGCTGGGGAAATGAGGCTGCAGCTGGCCAGGAGAAAGGACAGCAGCCCCAGGGGGACATACACCCACCGTGAGCCCTACAGCAGCCACCTGGCTAGAACAAAAGGCCGGAGCCACATGGCCCATGCACATCAGCTGGTGCAAACAGGATGGGCTGCCCAGAGCAGCTGGTGGGGTGAGAGGACCATGCCTGTGTGTGTGCTTTTCTCACTGCCCAGGCTGCCTGGGGAAACCATGGCGTACAGTTAGGGCGAGAGCTGAGTATCTGCTGGGCCCTGGCACCAGCCTTCCAGGAGGTCCTTAAATAATCTGAACATGGCCAGTGAGGGCCCTGGAGGCTGGAAGGGTCTTAAGTTCAGCGCTAAGAAGGCACATGGGTCCTGACCAGCTTGGAAGGGCTGCCTGCAGGAGGGTGGGTTCCGGGCCAGGTGCTCAAGAGGAGCCTGGTGGAGTGGCCAGAGGCCCACCCACTCTGAGGCTAGAAGAGTCCCTGTGTAATAAGGGTCTCAGAGACTGGGGTCTGGGCCCCAGTGTGGTGGGAAGAAGAAACAAAACAGGCAGTGCACATCCTGGAGGCAGGCCAACCTGAGTGCCAAACTGGCCCTTCTGTCACTTGTGTGATTTGAGGAAGTCATTTCAACCTACGGGCCTCGGTTTCCTCACTTGTAAAGTGGAGGAGGCCGTACGACCTCACAGGAAACCTCACGGGTCACGGGAAGCTCTTGGCACGGTGTCCGTGTGAAGCCGAGTCTCCCTGGACCTCAGATCCGCAGCTCTGCCTGAGCCAGAATCACCCACCTGCTTCCTGTGTGCACTGAGCTCAACCTCCAAACTCACATCAGTGATGCTACCCTGGCCGTTTACACTCCGCACTTGGGTTTTGATGAAAAAGTAATTATGGTGCAAAGATCAACGTTAATGAAACTTTAGAAAACATTCACCATGGCCCTGGGGTCAGAGCCAAAAGGTGTGCAAGAGCGGCAGCTCTGGATTGGGATGAAACGATGCCTAATTGATATTCCTTCCCGGCAGAAAATATTCTGAAGTAATCTAATTGAAGAGCACATTCCAAAGATGATAAATTAAGTAATTTAAAAGAAATGCAAATCTTTCTCTTTAGGGAAATCCGGTTTAATATTAAAGCTAATTTTTATTTAAAAATTAACCAGCATATTAGGAAAACTCCTAGTGACTTTTCCAAGTAAGATTAATTAAATGTTTCAAATTTTTATAATTAGACAATCCCGATCAGTATTGGCATTTGCACTAATAAATGAGAGGTGTGGTGATTTAGAATCATTGCCCAGGACCACAAGGAATATAAGTAACAACGATGAGGGATACATTCTACTCCAAGAAGTCAATTCTCGTTTCTATGTTAGTGGGCCACATGCTTCATGAATGTTCCACAGCCTCTCTCAGAGGAACAGAGAGGGGACTGTGTGTTTCACTGAACTCCAACACTGAGTGGATTTTAGGGCCATTGATTTTTGTTGTTTTCTGTGACTACAGTGGCCCTTCATAATGGAGCACAGACTTGACATCAGAAGTGAATTGAGGTTGTTCCCTTGGACATTTTGACTTTTTCCCTCTTTCCCACATTCGATTCTTCAGGTAACTCGGACTTGAAGGCCTACCAAGAAGAGGAACTCACGTAATTCACAGTTTCTGCCTTCATATCCTTCCTGACAAGTGCAGGTGTATTCCCCAAGGCCGTCCTTACACCTGCCCTGATTCAGGCAGGGATTGCTTTCACACTGGTCACCATCTGCAAAGAAAGGGATTGGAAACCGAAGCTTGCGGGCAATTTCCATCACCATGGAAATGACTTTGCTGTGTTGATCTTGGCACACATTTTTCAGATAACTCGAATGAACGTGGACTTCTTCCTGTTTCCCTGTAAACAATTTCTCCTAACTGAACGTCACTGTATCCTCACCTTTTGTGGCTCTGTGTATGTGATGCTCTTATCTTACTGGATCATTGGCTGAGCTTTCTAGTTTTTGCTGAAATGTTTGACAGCATTTTTACATTAGAGTGAAGAGCTCTAGGAGGTGACTACATGGGACCATCTGGAAGGGGGAAGACGTGAGTGTCTGACACTGGACAACAGAGATGTTAGGGTTCCTGTTTCCAAATGCTCTGGGGGTAAAATGAGAATGCAGAGACAACTGCCCAGCACCAACACGGGACTTCACATTTCTTGGTGCATTTGTACAATCTAATTTAGAAATAAGTCCAATAGTCATTTTGAGAAATTTGAATGGTGTTGCCAGAATGAAAACATTAGTCAGGATTAATGCCATTTCAGATGGTATAAGGGTTGACTCAAGATGCTTACCTTATTATAGGATCCAATTTTTCCGACTCTATTTTTTTCCTAATATACTTGGGTTTTTAACATTATCACTAAATTTGGTATTCTCAAATGAGAATATACTGATTTAAATCTATATGTAAGTGGCAACATTAGGATTAGTGTAAAGTTACTATAAAAAACTATTTTACAATAACTGTTATGAAAATGCTCAGATGGAACAAGTTAAATACATAGGATTTAAACAGGAACAGAAAGGCAATTCAGCAAGCATTTTCAAAGTTCAAACACAATTTCTCCCAACTTAAATATCTTAATGAACCCCTCTCACTTAAGATTAAAATAGCATACATCTCACCTTTGTATATATTCCAGAATTCATTCTAAAAGAGAAAAAATATTTTAAAGAACATTAGGGAAAGCACAGACATTTTACACCTATAACAGATTAAAACCTAGTAACTCGAGAGGAGAGACCAAGATGGCGGCATAGGTAAACACCGGAGACTGCTGCCGCAAACAACCACTTCAAAAATACAACTAAAAGACGGAACGGACATCACCCAGAACCACAGGAAGGCTGGCTGAGGAGAGACTCTTCAACTAGAAGGAAAAATAACAGCACACCGAGGCTCAGAGGAGGCGCAGTGTGGAAAAAACTCAGGTGCGGAGGTGCGCGCGCAAAGCGGGCTGGTGGCTGAGAGCGCGGTTGTCGTTTTCGGTCAGGGGGGAGTCTCAGACTCTGAGCTCCAGATACGGGCGAATCGCTGGGGACTCGGACCCAAACGGGAGAAGCGGGAGTGTCTGGCATCAGTTGGAAGGCAGCTTTCCCTCCGAGGTTTGCAGCGGTTCCGGGGGTTCTGAGAAGCAGAGCCTCTGGGAACAGGACTGAGGGCACCATAACGGCTCCCTCCGCCCGCCCTGTTGAGCCCGCCCCGCCCAAGCCCTGCGCAGAGCCATTTGCCGGATCGCCGCAGGCAAAGGCTAGATTAGCGCCCCCCCAGAGGACAGAAGTTTTCCCACTGCAGCAGACACAGCTGATTCACACAGCCAGTCGGCCTGGTGGTCAAATCCCTCTAGTATTAACTACAACAATCAAGGCTCAACTAGAACAAGACTGCGCACAAAGACCACTAGGGGGTGCACCAAGAAAGCATAAAAAATGCGGAGACAAAAAAACATGACAGAAATGGAGGATATAGAGCTAAAAATCGCAATTTTGAGGGCTTGCAAAAATGTGCTAGAAGCTGTCAATAAACTTGAGGAGAGAGTCACGAAAACTAATGAGACCCTCGATGCTATGATAAAGAACCAACTAGAAATTAAGCATACACGGACTGAAATAAAGAATATTATACAGACACCCAATAGCAGACCAGAGGAGCGCAAGAATCAAGCCAAAGATTTGAAATGCGAAGAAGCAAAAAACACCCAACCGGAAAAGCAAAATGAAAAAAGAATCCGAAAATACGAAGATAGTGTAAGGAGCCTCTGGGACAGCTTCAAGCGTACAAACATCAGAATAATTGGGGTGCCAGAAGATGAGAGACAGCAAGATATTGAAAACCTATTTGAAGAAATAATGGCAGAAAACTTCCCCCACCTGGTGAAAGAAATGGACTTACAGGTCCAAGAAGCGCAGAGAACCCCAAACAAAAGGAATCCAAAGAGGACCACACCAAGACACATCATAATTAAAATGCCAAGAGCAAAAGACAAAGAGAGAATCTTAAAAGCAGCAAGAGAAAGAGACTCAATTACCTACAAGGGAATACCCATACGACTGTCAGCTGATTTCTCAACAGAAACTTGGCAGGCCAGAAGGGAATGGCAAGAAATATTCAAAGTGCTGAATACCAAGAACCTACAACCAAGAATACTTTATCCAGCAAAGCTATCATTCAGAATTGAAGGTCAGATAAAGAGCTTCACAGATAAGGAAAAGCTAAAGGAGTTCATCACCACTAAACCAGTATTATACGAAATGCTGAAAGGTATCCTTTAAGAAGAGGAAGAAGAAAAAGGTAAAGATACAAATTGTGAACAACAAACATGCATCTATCAACAAGTGAATCTAAGAATCAAGTGAATAAATAATCTGATGTACAGAATGAACTGGTGATTATAATGAATCAGGGACATAGAAAGGGAATGGACTGACTATTCTTGGCGGGGAAAGGGGAATGGGAGATGCGGGAAGAAACTGGACAAAAATCGTGCACCTATGGATGAGGACAGTGGGTGGGGAGTGAGGGCGGAGGGTGGGGCGGGAACTGGGAGGAGGGGAGTTATAGGGGGAAAAAAAGAGGAACAAATGTAACCTGAACAAAAAAGATTTAATTAGTCAGGATTAATGCCATTTCAGATGGTATAAGGATTGACTCAAGATGCTTACCTTATTATAGGGTCCAATCTTTCCGACTCTATTTCTTTCCTAATATACTTGGATTTTTAAAATTATCACTAAATTTGGTATTCTCAAATGAGAATATACTGATTTAAATCTATATGTAAGTGGCAACATTAGGATTAGTGTAAAGTTACTATAAAAAACTATTTTACAATAACTGTTATGAAAATGCTCAGATGGAACAAGTTAAATACATAGGATTTAAACAGGAACAGAAAGGCAATTCAGCAAGCATTTTCAAAGTTCAAACACAATTTCTCCCAACTTAAATATCCTAATGAACCCCTCTCACTTAAGATTAAAATAGCATACATCTCACCTTTGTATTTATTCCAGAATTCATTCTAAAAGAGAAAAAATATTTTAAAGAACATTAGGGAAAGCACAGACATTTTACACCTATAACACATTATAACCTAATAACTCAACTTGAATAGGATACTTTCCCAAACAGAGGTCATTTTCCAAAACAAATTGCTCTAGAACTATTCAATCTAAACGGGAAACTATTTTTTAGATCTTCTGTATCTATAAAGGTACAGATAGTGGCTTCAATCACCATCTCTGTTGAATATTGAAAGTGTATTTTCAAGTGAATCTCCAAGAAATGGATTGTACCAAAAATGCTTTGCTCTGTTTGCTACTCCAGTAAATGGTTTTTAGTTGAAATATTTGGGTCAAAGATTCAATAAAGAAATGAATTATTGGTTAATAATCATGGTAATTTAGAAAATGATCATTGGTAATTAACTCAAATCAGGGCATCAAGAGCCTACATTAACTAAAAAATGTTCATAGATTAAAACATTTTTTTTCTGTCTATAGTAGGTTAAATAGTGTCTCCCAACCCTCCAAATTCAGGTGTAAACTCACAATGTGACTTTTATTGGAAATAAGGTTTGTGCAGATGTAAGTAAGGTATCAATTGAGATGAGATCCTACTGGATTAGGGTGGGCCCCAAATCAATGAGGGGGTCCTTATAAGAGACAGAAAAGGACACAGACACACGGAGAGAAGGCCATGTGAAGATGGAAGCCGAGATTGGAGTGATGCATCTACAAGGCAAGGAAAGCCAAGGATTGTTGGCAGCCACCATAAGCTAGAAGAGAGGCGTGGAACAGATTCTTCCTCCGGTCTTCCAGAAGGAACAAACCCTGGTGACACCTTAATGTCGAACCTGTGGTCTCCAGCACTGAGAGAAAAAGCATTTTAAGACACCCAGTTTGTGGTTTTATTTTGCTTTTTTATTTATTTATTTATTTATTTATTTTAGTGTCTTAATGTGGAAGCTTAGAATATCAATCTGAGACCTTTCTTTTCCAATAAAAACTTTTAATGCTGTAAGTTCCCCTAGAAGCACTATGTTGTATATTCATTTTTGTTCAACTGGAAATATTTTCTAATTTCCTTTGAGACTTTCTCTTTGACCCACAAATTATTTAGAAGTGTGCTGTGTGCTGTTTAATTTCCAAATATGTAGAAATTTTCCTGTTACTGATTTTTGGTTAATTTCATTATGGTCAGATAACCTTTTATATGTTTTCAATCTTTAACATTTGTTAAGATGTGTTTTTTTTATTAAATCTTTATTGTTCAGATTATTACATTTGTTCCTCTTTTTCCCCTCCCATAACTCTCCTCCACCCAGTTCCCACCCACTGTCCTCATTCATAGGTTGGCGATTTTTGTCCAGTCTCTTCCCGCATCCCCCACACCCCTTTCCCCCCCAAGAATAGTCAGTCCATTCCCTTTCTATGCCCCTGATTCTATTATAATCACCAGTTTATTCTGTTCATCAGATTATTTATTCACTTGATTTTTAGATTCACTTGTTGATAGATGTGTATTTGTTGTTCATAATTTGTATCTTTACCTTTTTCTTCTTCTTCCTCTTCTTAAAGGATACCTTTCAGCATTTCATATAATACTGGTTTGGTGGTGATGAACTCCTTTAGCTTTTCCTTATCTGTGAAGCTCTTTATCTGACCTTCAATTCTGAATGATAGCTTTGCTGGATAAAGTAATCTTGGTTGTAGGTTCTTGCTATTCATCACTTTGAATATTTCTTGCCACTCCCTTCTGGCCTGCAAAGTTTCTGTTGAGAAATCAGCTGACAGTCGTATGGGTACTCCCTTATAGGTAACTGACTTTTTTTCTCTTGCTGCTTTTAAGATTCTCTCTTTGTCTTTTGCTCTTGGCATTTTAATTATGATGTGTCTTGGTGTGGTCCTCTTTGGATTCCTTTTGTTTGGGGTTCTCTGCGCTTCCTGGACTTGTAAGTCTATTTCTTTCACCAGGTAGGGGAAGTTTTCTGTCATTATTTCTTCAAATAGGTTTTCAATATCTTGCTCTCTCTCATCTTCTGGTACCCCTATAATTCTGATGTTGGTACGTTTGAAGCTGTCCCAGAGGCTCCTTACACTATCTTCGTATTTTTGGGTTCTTTTTTCATTTTGCTTTTCCGGTTGGGTGTTTCTCGCTTCTTCGCATTTCGAATCTTTGACTTGATTCTTGCGCTCCTCTGGTCTGCTGTTGGGAGTCTGTATAATATTCTTTATTTCAGTCAGTGTATGCTTACTTTCTAGATGGTCCTTTATCACACCATCGAGGGTCTCATTAGATTTCCTGTACATCTCATCAAGTTTATCGACAGACTCTAGAAGCCTCTTGAGAGACCTCAAAAGTGTGGTTCTGAACTCAATATCCTCCCTTGATAGTTTTGTCCTGTTTCTTTGTCTCCGCATTTTTTACGCTTTCTTGGTACACCCCCTAGTGGTCTTTGTGCGCAGTCTTGTTGTAGTTAAGCCTTGATTGTTGTAGTTAATACTAGAGGGATTTGACCTCCAGGCCAACTGGCTGTGTTAATCAGCTGTGTCTGCAGTGGAAGAACTTGTGTCCTCTAGGGAGGTGCTAATCTAGCCTTTGCCTGAGGCTATCCGGCAAATGCCTCTGTGCAGGGCTTGGGCGGGGCGGGTCCCACAGGATCAACAGGGCGGAGGAGGGAGCAGTTATGGCTGCTCTCAGCCCGTACCCAGGGGCTCTGCCTCTCTGTCCCAGCAACCGCTACAAACCTCGGAGGGACCATAGCCAGAGCCCGCTCCACGTGCGCCTCTGTACCTTAGTATTTTACTTCCACACCGCACCTCCTCTGAGTCTCAGTATGCTTTTCTCTTTCCTTCTAGTTGGAGAATTTCCACTCAGCCAGTCTTCCTGTGGTTCTCGGTGATGTCCGTTCCATCTTTTAGTTTTATTTTTGAAGTGGTTGTGCGAGGCAGCAAACTCTGGTGTTTACCTATGCTGCCATCTTGGTTTCTCCCCAAAAATCAAGATGTGTTTTTAGGACACAGGATATGGCCTATCTTGTAGAAAGTTCGGTGGATGCTGGGAACTTTGAGGAGAGGGGGTTTGCAACAGGACCGTTGGGAATCGTACAATTATCAGTTAGATTCAGGTGGAGTGATGTCTGGAGAACTGCAGGGGATACAAATGATAAACTCACAATTCTGTGGTACTTTGAATTCTCGTTTTCTTTAATGACTGCTGCTATTTACTTTTCAGGGTCCTCAAATAGTGGCTCCATGCAGTCTACCCAGGTTTTGTAGTTACATTCAGTGGGAGACAGGGTAGAGTGTGCTTTCTCCATATTACTTGGAACCAGACTTGTTGCTAACCTTTGATCCAGTAATCCTCTTTGGAGCAGCTGCTCTTCTTAGGAGATAATCCAGAAGAAATATACATGTGCATGATTTCATAATAGTAATATGAAAACATCTTATATGGCCAAAACGGGAAAGAAGTAAATGTGTTGATAGAATAGAATTTAATTTAGGTCTTTAAGATTATAAGTATGGTAGCTATATATAGAAGTAAGGAAGAGTGTTTGGGAGATGATGCTGAGAAAAAAGTAGTACCTAAACTTGGATTGGAATTACAAATATTCATTAATATTTTGTGTATGTATTTCATACACAAAACTATGCCTATGTGAATTCGAAGAGCATTTAAAAGTGAAAATACTTCTTGAAATTATGAATAACTTTTAAAAATAGACAAATCATTTATTTGGTAAGGCATGAAAATGAATTCTCAATGCCTCTTCTCTCTTCTGGTGGCTGAAATGAACACTGGTGGTCAAACGGATAGAAACATACACGAATCCCTTGCAGACCTTGAGCTTTTGCAGAAATACAAAGATGTCTGAGTCCCACAATTTACAGTGACTATTTTCTAGACAGAAGTGCCAAGTGTGTTTTCCAATGTATTAGTGGTTGCTATATTCTCCTTCCTAGCTTCAGGTTTTATGGGAGGAAACACAAGTACTTCTGTAATGTTAGTGGAGACTGTGAGACACATGGTGATGCGATGCGGTTACTATCCAAGCCCCAGCCAGCTGTGGGCACTCCATGGCAGTACAGAGCTTTTCATCTATGAACACAGCCTCCTCCTCATCAGTGCCTTTTATCTGCTCTTCCTTACCCTCCTTCCTCCGTCTCTCTCTTCCTTCAAAATTTTTAAGGGTTTATTTGAGGCAAGACTGATGGTAGTTGCCAGGAAGCAAGGTCTCAGATGCTTCTCTTTTGTTCTTTAAAAAACTGCTTGCTGCTGCATGGAACTGTTTAAGTCATTGTAGGTACTGCACACTTCCTTCTTCGTGACAAATAGCTCAAAGTGCTCAGAGAAACCCAGAGTGGTCCATTTGGCCAAACATCTCACTATCCGTGGGTGATCACAGATGAATATGAGGTTGCTGCAACTCACTTTCAGGAGCTCTCTGACAAGATTATCGGAGTCTGGCTGTGGCCTGAGGTAAAGGACATTCAATAGCTTTTGCCACACAGGTATTATTAAGAATGTTTTTTAGTTTCTTCAGTTCTGAACAAGGTTTGTTCCTGGCAGGTTAGTTCCTCACAGGGCTTTCTCACGTGCTTCTACCATGCTGACTCTGTAGATGGGGTGAAGTCAGTCTGATGGGTTTGGCCTTCTGGGCCATTGGGATGGTGGATGTGATCTTGTCTGTAATGTGCTTCACCATCCCTTACATAATTTCCATGGTTTCAGGAGATCATCATGATCTGTAGAGGCCATGTAAAATCACTGCTGGTGAATTAGAGTCAAATCATCTGGAACTGGCATTCAATTTCACAACCCGGGACAATGCCACTGCTCACCAGCATCTTGTGGCAGAGTTCTGGAGCAATTCTCATATGTAAGTTCATGTTCAGCTTATTTAGTGAGGTGATGAAAAACTTGGGCACATCTCCACTAGAGATGGCATTCATCCTAGGAATTTCAATGTCTAGGAATCCCAACTTACCAAAATCTTCTTATACATGTGATGCTATTACTGTGGATGATAAATTTCTTCTTTGCAAAGTCATTCAGGTCCAAGCCCAAGTATCTCCAATGATGTGTTTCTTTGTCTTTGAGGCCAAAGTGAGGATTAGGTGACATATATGAGCATTGAGGCAATAGTGTCATTTTATGGAGAATGACACTCTGCAAACCCTTCTTTGTTTTTCCAGGATTCTCTCGAACTCCAATTATGTCTCCCGAGGCAGTCTGTTATCGATATAAATAAATTCTTCTGATTTAAAATTCCTTGAATTGGCCATGACTTGCAACTTCACCTGTACTCGAAGGGCACAGAAGATGAACCTCCCCGGGCTCTTCTGGCATAGAGACTACCTACCCCTTAAGGTGATGTTGGTCAGGTGGTCAGCAGGTTCAGCAAGCGAGCGGGTCTACATGGAGCCTGTGTGGTGCGGGTCTCCTCAGCACTCAGCATGTGGTGGGAGCTCAACTGTGGTCTTGCAGTGTTAATGGGGGTCCTGCAGTATGGACGGGGTCCTGCAGTGTGGATGGGGGTCCTGCAGTGTGAATGGGAGTCCTGCAGTGTGGGTGGGGTTCTGCAGTGTGGGTGGGGTCCTGCAGTGTGGATGGGGCCCTGCAGTGTGGGTAGGGGTCCTGCAGTGTGGGTGGGGTCCCGTAGTGTGGGTGGGGTCCTGCAGTGTGGGTAGGGGTCCTGCTGTGTGGGTGGGGTCCTGCAGTGTGGGTGGGGTCCTGCAGTGTGGTTGGGGCCCTGCAGTGTGGATGGCGGTCCTGCAGTGTGGATGGCGGTCCTGCAGTGTGGGTATGGGTCCTGCAGTGTGGGTATGGGTCCTTCAGTGTGGGTATGGGTCCTGCAGTGTGGATGGGGGCCTTCAGTGTGGATGGGGGCCTTCAGTGTGGGTGGGGGTTCTGCAGTGGGGATGGCGGGTCCACTGTCTGTTTTCAGTGTTGTGGTGGTGGCAGCAGCCGGGCCTACCTGTCTCTCTCGGAGCTGCTGCTTGGCCTCCTTCTCGGCCACTTTCTCTTCAGCTTTAAAGTGTCTTCAGTTCATTCTTTCCCAGTATCACTTGCCGCCATTCACTGCCACCTCACGTCCTCATGGCGGCCATGTTTCCCCAGGGCCCTACCCAAAGTGGGTGAGGCTTATTAGCAACTTTCAGGGAAGCCTTTACTGTCGTGTGCCCGTGCGCCATAGCTCTGAAGGCTGCAACTCAGGTGCCAGACGTCAAATATGGCTATGGCCATGGATCTTGGCAAAATCCAATGACTCACAGTGTGTGTGTGTGTGTGTGTGTGTGTGTGTCTCCCAGTCCAGGGAGGTGTTGGCCAAGGGCATGAATAATTTTAAATAAACTTGTTATGTTTTAGAATAGATTTAACAATACCTTCAGAAGTTCTCATAATTCTTATAACCAATTTTTGGCCATACCTTCTCAGCTTCCTACCCACAAAACAAGGAGATATGTGGTGGGTGAGGAACCAGGAACGAAAGCCTTGGAAGTGGTAGAAAGAGACAGGCTCCCCACCTCCTACCCCAGAAAGCCTCTCCTGAGCTGTTCTCTGTGGTGGAGGCCACAGCACAGAAGGGCATGGAGTGAAGGCCCAGCGTGGGCGACACTGACAGCCTCCATAGACAGGTTAGCGGGGCCAGACAGCATCTCCATTCAGGCCCAGCACCGTCCACAACTGGTCTCCCCGTCTCACCAACCCTTACCGTCTTCTCCGTGTCCTCAAAGACTTCTCGGATCTCTTCGTAGTGGCAAGTCTCTTCCACACACTCACTTTCAAGGTCTTCTCTTTTTGTCTCTTCAGATAATGAATTGACCCTGTCCAGGAAGCTGTTGGCATGTTCCCGTTTGATGAACACTGGAAGACAGGGAAGCACACAAAGTACTTTATCAAATTATAAGGTCACTTCCCTGCTGCAAAAGGCTGAGAACTCCTTCCTCAGGCACCAGGCAGCTGGGAAAGAAACGCCCATCTCCCTCCTGACTCCTCCTTGAGTTACATACAGTACCTGTTCTAGACCCCACACACCCTTTTCTGGAGAAGTAGACACATCCCATCCAATCCACTACCACCCTCCCTGCACATTCACACCCAGCTTTAGGGTGGTCAATGCAAACCCCCTCTCCTGAACTCTCCCTTCTCAGAGTGGTTCCAGGCCACTGTCACCTCCCTCCCTGCAACCGGCTACTCCACTCTGTGCTTTGGCTCAGGCTGTGCCCCTCCACTCTCATCCTCACCCTGAGCCTCACCCACCCTGTATGTAGGTCAGAGTTCAGTGGGGAGTTGTGAAACTGTTTTGATCACGATCTACAATTAAAGGTCTGATTTATATCAAGTCCCAGGACTCCCAAATATAAATTAAAACAGAAGTTTTGCCCTAGCTGGTTTGGCTCAGTGGATAGAGCATCAGACTGTGGACCAGAGGGTCCTGAGTTCGATTCTGGTCGGGGGCACATGCTTGGTTGCAGGCTCCTCCCTGGCCTGGGCTGTGGTCGGAGTGTGTGAGGGAGGTGATCAATCGATGTGTTTCTCTCACATTGATATTTCTCTCTCTTCCACTCTCTCTAAAAACCAATGGAAAAATATCCTCAGGTGATGATTAAAAAACACAACAAAACAAAACAACCCCAGAAGTTTCAACCCGGCTGGTGTGGCTCAGTTGGTTGGAGTGTCGTCCGGGACACCAGAAGGTGACAGTTAGATTCCTAGTCAGGGCACACACTCAGGTTGTGGGTTCCGACCCTAGTCAGGGCACGTATGGGAAGCAATTGACGTTTCTTTCTCACGTCGATTTTTCTCTCTTTCTCTTTCTCTTCCCCCAAACCCCCCCTTCTCGTTTCCTTCCTTTCTGTCTCAAATCACTAAAAATACATCCTCAGGTGAGAATTACAAAGAAAAATAACAGCAATAACAAAAACAAAATAGAAATTTCAAGAAATAGTATTTACTATAATTTTCTACAAAATAGTACTTATTACAAAATTTTCTACTTGATTCTGTTATTTTTCATTAAAAGCAAAACCCCACTAAATTGATCTCATGACTCACAAATGAGTCGTGACCTGCTCATGACCAGTTAAAACGTGTTGGGTCAGAGAGCCTCTGAGTCCTCCCCGTGGTCTCTGTCTGCAGCTGGCTTGTCCCCACTCTCTGCCTGAGTCTTATCTCTCCCTCACTCACCACTCCTTTCTTCTTTCCATTGTGAGACAGGAGGCCCTCAGATTCTTTTCCTCGCCCTCTGCACTCCTCTCTCTTTTTCCACTGAAGAGTTTAGAGTTTCACCATAATACTCTCCACGTTGGTATTGCTAGTCCCAACTTTCATCCCAGCTCTATGCTTTCAACTCTCTCATCGTGGTGGATATCTCCCCTCATCTCAAACTCCAAACTCCCACGTCCAAAACCAAAACACACAGCCAGTGCTGCAGAATCTAGAAGGCCTGAGTTTCCAATACACCTTGGTCACCTACTACTTAATATTGGCAAATGCAAATTACAAGACATAGGCTTACTTCTTCGAGTTGTTTTAAAGAGTGTATACACTTCCCAGTGTCCAGTGTGGCACACATTAGGTGCTCAATGAAGGTTAGCTTCATTCCTACCTCAAATCACGTTCCCTTCCAAATTTCTCATTTCTTTTTGTGACATCAGTGTTACCCCAATAGCATCAGCCTCAAACTCGCTAGTATTTCTGGGCCTCTCCCCCACTACTTCGAATATCTGCTTCAATACCAAGTGCTGACTTTGAAATAAAATCCGCACAGCAGTTTCTCCCCTCTCATTCCCCTCCATGGGTCTCTTCTCTGTTCTGCTTTTCTCTTTCATTTTCTGACTTTGTACCGCTTTCTCCTCTCCTGCACACCTGGGTCGCTCCTCAGTGCTCCTGTCCTTGCACTTGGCCTAGGATGCAGACAAACCTCAGGGGTGATGCCACCTCTGTTCTCTCTTCTGACTTTGCTCTGCTTCTCTCCTTTCTGAGCCCTTTCTCTTTGGACAGGCCCTGGGGCCCTGGAAGGTCAAGGCACCCCCATCTGAGCCAGCCTTGGGCAGCCCCTCCCCCTGGCTGAGCCAGCCTGAGGGTGGCAACACCAGCTTCTCTCTCATTCTCTTCCCTGCCATGGACACTCTTCTCTGCCTGGGACCGACCCCCTCTCCTCCTCTCCCCCAGCTCCTGTTGGCAGAGGAAAGCGGCTTCTCTCTGTCTCTACCTGCCACCTCTCCATTCGCTCCCTCTCTTTCTTCATCTCCCCCTCTCTGTTTTCTGCCTCTCTTTCTCCCTCTGTCTCTCTCTGTGTGTGTGCCTGTCTCTGTGTTTGTCTGTCTCTGTCTTTCTGTCTGTCTATGTTTCTCTGTCTCTCTCCCTCTTCCTCTGTCCATGTGTTTCTATCTGTCTTTATGACCTCTGACCGGCTGTCTGACTCTCCACCCACAGGGAGGCACACCTGGCCCTAAGCTACCTTGTCTGAGACCGCCAAGCCCAGCTGTCTCATGTCAGCCTTTGACAGGGGACGGGCACCCACTATCTACACTGTGGAGGTTCAAGGGCATCACCCCAGCTCCCCACCCTTTCTCCTCCTCCAGGAGACCACCATTGTAGCCTGAGGTCGAGGGGTGCTTACCACTTCCCCCGGGTGACAGGAGGCTGGCCAGGGAGGCACTGAGCAGGAGGAGGCACAGCGGGCCGGCCATGGTGTGGCCTAGGACAGTGTTGCGGTCGCACTGTGATAGCCTCCAGGGCAAGGTTCACACTGTGGAGGTTCACGGGCATCACCCCAGCTCCCCACCCTTTCTCCTCCTCCAGGAGACCACCATTGTAGCCTGAGGTCGAGGGGTGCTTACCACTTCCCCCGGGTGACAGGAGGCTGGCCAGGGAGGCACTGAGCAGGAGGAGGCACAGCGGGCCGGCCATGGTGTGGCCTAGGACAGTGTTGCGGTCGCACTGTGATAGCCTCCAGGGCAAGGTTCACTCACCCCAGCTCCGAGGGTGGAGGATTGTCCTTCTGCTTATCACAGCCTTCTGATTGGAGCCTGGGCTGGCTGTGGGTGAGGGACAGGGGCAGGCGAGGGAGAGGAGCAGGCGAGGGACGGGGGTAGGTGACCACGCTCGGGGCAGCCCTGGGGAAGTCCTGTTGGAACCTCTTCGGTAACCGTATCCAGGGGGCTGCTTTGAGCATGGGAACTTTCTGTTCTGAGAAAGTATAAATGCAACTTTATAGTTTTCAGACATTTATGTGTGGCTCTCATTTCATCCTTACAATCATGATAGACGCTAAGTATCACTTCCCTCATCTTTTCTCCTGAAGAGAACACGGAGGCTTAGGGAGAAGTGAAGTGTCTGTGGTACACGTGGGATTTGAACCCAGGACTTGCCCTCTCAGTATCCTGATTGTCTCTGGGTCTGACCTGGTCCTGCTCAGAGGCCTCTCTCTCCAGGTGCTGTCAGGTGGGGCCCCACACAGGGCCTCCTGCACCTGCATGCCAGGCTTGTACCTTCCTCCCCAAATTCAGGGGCTCTGGGAGGCAGAGCTTGTCTTGTCCCTTTGCACCACAGGATTCCTTGTGCACAGGCCCCGACACAGACTTCTGGGAGGATAGCCCCTGCCTGGCGTGCCTGGTGGGGACTGCTCTGCTGGAACCCTGAGTGATCTGTTGACTGACCACAGGACAAGTTGGCTCCAGGTCAAGAGGGCTGTGCCAGGAGAGCTCCTTGGCCTACCTCTCAGCCCCTTGGCCTCACACACTCCGCTGGGGGCTAGGTTGGGAGACAGAGCTCTGAGTCAGTGACCTCGCAGTGTAGCTCATTTCTCACTTCTGCGCAGCTCAGTACAGGCCCCCTGCTAGAGCCCGGAGGGTAGCATGGTGCCTGAGTGTCAGGATCAGCGGCCGCTTCATCATCCAGCCCCTCCCTGAGGCTCCCACTCTCCACTCCCCTCATTCGGGGCCAAGGAAGCCTGGAAGGCACTGTCTCCAGGGAATACGGAGTCTCGGAGTCTCATTTTTTGGCTCTCATCAAGGTTGTGTCTCTTTGCAACAAATGCCCGGTGTCAGGGAAGCGCGAATCACCTCAGGTCAGCAGAAGCAGCTGCCAACTTGGCAGCCAGGCTGGGGAGGGAGGTGTGTGCTAGGTAGCGGGTGCACACCAGGTACAGGCTTCATTTCCAGCGCAGAAATCTCTCCGGGGCACCAAGCGTGGGGGCACAGCTTGAGCTCCTGGGCTGACCAGGGTCTATCTCTACAGCCAGACTCCAGGCTCTGAAGGGGAAGGCCTGGGAAGTGACCGGCAAGGCGACAGAGACAGAAATGGACCGCACTCTATTCCACAGTGCTCCCACCCACAACCCGCGGCCCATGGTCACTTGGATATATATAAGTCCTATCATCTGGCTTGTTCGTTGCTCTGTCTCCAGCACCTCGTAAGGGTGTCTGGCACCCAGAAGATGCTCAATAAACACCAACAGATGGGATGAATCAGTTCAGGCCTGAAATGTGCCTGCTCTGTACGCTGAGGCCAGCCTGGCCTTTTGTGGGGTGGTCACTGTTCCATGCAGAGCCTGGTCCTCAGGGACAACCTGCAGCTGGTGCCTTGGGCCTGTCTCACCTGGACAATTTGTGCTGCGATGCTGTTTCTGGATAAATGCGGCTGTGGGGGAGGTTGGATCTGTGGGAGTCCTCTGGTCCCCAGCACCTGGTGGGCAGGAAATGATTTAAGCGCCACTCAAAAAAAGAGGGAGATGATCCATAAGGGTTAGTTTATCTGCACGTCAAGTGTTAGCCTTCAGGGGTTGTCCTGATGTCGCTTGGCGCCCATGCTTCCAGCACCTCTGTGAGAGGGAGGCACGGATGACTGGGGAAACTGAGGCAGAGCCAGTCAACTGCCAGGAGCCCGTTTAACCTCTTGTGGGTCGGGCGGCTCCTGGCCTGACCATTTCCACCTCCCCTCCCCCTCCTTTTCTTCTCAGGAAGAGGATCCAGAGATCTTTCATTTCTAGGAAGATACAAACACACGCTGGGCTGAGGGCCTCTGGAGGTCTCTTGCATTTTGGTTGCAGAATTTCCCCTAAGTCCCTGTCGCCTGGACAGCTGAGCTGGGGACATCTGGATGTTTGCAAATCAGCTTTCTGGTCCAGGACAACATGATCGAGCTCTCCCAGGTGCCTCATTCCCTGTGCACTGGTGTCATCCTCATGACAAGCAGGAGGGGCGGGGGGGCATTTCAGAGATGCGGAAACAAGGCACAGGAGGATAAGCGGTGGCTTGGCCAAGAGTTACAGGCGGAGCCAGCCCGACTCCAGGAGGTCTGGCCTATGCCAGGTCTCTTAAAGTGCACTGCGGGTCAGATGGTCTCTTTGGTCAGACGGTCTCCGACCCAACTACTCAGCACTGTAGTTTTAAGCAGCCATGATGATCTTTAAAGGAATGGGTATGTCCCAATAAAACTTTATTTACAAAAGCAGATGGCTTGGACTCAGCCTTAGCTGTGGCTTGCTGAAAACTACATATGGCTTGACTGTTCAGCAGAGCAAGTCCTGGCACGCTCACTCACTTAAGTACTAGTGTTCCAGGCATGGGACAGGCCAGTCGCTGTCCTCCAGTCGTGCCTTGAGGGAGCGGTGCACCCGCTGGGCTCATTCCACCCACCTTTGTCAAGTTCAAGGGGGGCCCACTTGAACTTGGATGTTTGTCTTATTCTTCCCCACTCGTGACCTGTGTGGCCCTAGGTGTAGTGTGCCCATAATCACCTGAGGGACTTGATAAAAATGTTACTCAGCAGGTCCCACCCCCTTCAAATCCCACTGATCTGGGCAAAACGTGGGAATGTGCACTTTGTGGAGCATCCCCGGTGGTTCTCAGGTAGGTGTTTGCAGGGACGGTCTTTGAGGACTGCCATTGGGCCTTGGTAGGAAGAGAACACCCAGTTGTATAGGATTTTGGCAACTACAGCCTCCAGAATCCATCAGAGAGGTGGTTTAAAAAACCAGCCTCCACCTAAAAGATTCATCTGTGATGTTACCCACAGCTTGACGATACACACCAGAGTCTCCATGAAAGGAATATAGACAACCCATGAATGGCAGGCTGCCAGAAAGAGTGCAGAGGAGATTCAGCGGTTTGCTGCTCGTGGGGAGAACAGGCAGCAAACAGGGTGTGGAGCCTTTTATGTAGCCTGTGTTATAGGAAAAGATACATGTGCAGGACAAATCTGGAGGATATCCACAAAGTGAACGGATGATGCTTCCAATTTATTTGAAACAAAGAAGAAATACTTGTATAAGGGAGAAAAATATGAGAGTTAAAAGACAGAGAAAGTAGCACTTGTCACTGAGTGAACCACACACCCCTCTGCCGGGTCCGCAGTGAGACAGAGCAGAGATGCGCCGGTGAGTGCAGGTCACGGCGCCCCGTCCACCCCGGCCGAGCTTCCTGTTTCCCTCATCATCGGCCCTGCGTCTCTCATCTCTCTATTCACTCAGTCTGTCTCTGGGAATCTCTGAGTCTCTCTCCCCGTCTCCTTAGAATCTCTCCCCTTACTTCCTCTCTCCTCACTTCTCAGTCTCTCTCTATCTCTCCTTCTCTCTCTCTTTTCTTCTTTGTCTCTCTCGGTCTCTCTGTTTCTCTTCGCCCTCTCCGCCTCCCCACCCCAATAAGGGCAGAAGAATTTACAGGATTGAAGCCAGGACAACCCAAGCAACAGCAGCTTTATTTCCCAGGAGCAGGCTCCTTGGAGCCGACCCTGAGGGACTAGGGAAGCGGGGCTCGGAGGAAGCCTTCTGAGTGTGTTTCTGCGCTCATGAGCCTGTGGAGCCACTCAATGTACTGGGAGACCCTGGTGTACACCCCGAAGTGGCCTTCGGCTGCACAGCCCAGACCCCAGCTGACGACGCCCGTCAGATACCACGTGCCCTGGAACTTGGTGGCGTGGGGGCCCCCGCTGTCCCCCTTGCAGGCGTCCTTGCTCCCATCTCGGTAGCCAGCACAGAACATGTTCTCCGTGAGCTCTGGGGAGCCTGCCTCCTTCTTCGACTGCTCCAGGCAGTCCTGGGTCATCAGCCGGGGCACATCAATGGCCATGAGCTCCAGGGCCGGGGCGCCCTTTTCCAGGAGCCGGCCCCAGCCGCTCACGGTGGAGAAGCGGATGAAGGCCAGCGTCCTCTCGGAGAAGGCCTTCTCAGGCAGACAGAGGGGCACCGCGTAGTCCGTGAAGGCCACAGGCCTGCTCAGGCGGAGCAGGGCGATGTCGTGGTTCGTCTTGCGTCTGGCGTACTTGTCGGGGACAATGATCTGAACGACTCGCCGTTCCTGCTCATCGCCGTCCTTCTCGCTCAGGTCGTGCTCACCTGTGGGGAGACCAGCACCACTGTACCCCTCCCCCTGCAGCCTGAGGGAAGGACTCTTTGGGGCAGGAGGGGCCCTGCGTCCAACCCCAAGCTGGTCTGGGTGGCCCCCCTGGGCTCCATGCAGAACACGAATTGGGGGTGAATATGGAATCTGGGGTGCTGAAGGCACTGAGGAAGGGTGCTGGGCCAGGCAGCTGTGGGCAGGTGGTGAGGACTGCCTGATTCCCCCACTCCAGGCAGGGCCTGGTCCTCCCTGCAGGGGTCTCATTATCCCATAATTCCATCAAGC